CGTGTATGGCAATGGATTTCTCTCCCGCACTGAAAAGGGTCAAGTGTGGTCCCATGGGAGGTTTTAAGTTTCTGACGGCCAGTACTACGGCTCGCCCGGGCCAGTGATGTGACTAATGAGACTAAATAATAGGATGAAGAATTCGATAGTAAGCTTAACAACACGAACAAAGGACTTCGTTCTAATTACATGTTTGACCTGTACTGTGCATTACAATTAGCACTAAGAGTCTCCGTTGACATTCCGGAAATCCTTGATTTTTCTTTATTGAGCGGTATTGCTAAAACAGACCTAGACAACCATATGAGCAACTATAAGCCTTAATAGTAACACCTAATTCACTTAATCCTTCATTTTCCTGACTACTGATGTCTAGTGAATATTCTTTGCCAACACTGAAATTTGAACGTGCGTGCTAGCGCACTCGGCGGTAGTTGTTGGTCTCTCATTGACTATTACAGTACTTCACGCATATGTACAATCAACTAGATGCTTCAGCAATCGGCATATTATACACGTCCCGATTTCAGACTCACACCATACGTACGGGGCTGTCTATAATCTACAAGTTGCGCTGCTCGTTCACAAACTTAAACGAATTTACACGTTACCTATGATAACGATTTTGAAATGTTGGTTTATACTGGCTGTTAGTTAGACCCTTTATTTGACGGAAAACTTAGAAAATTAAATCGCCTTTACTGTTTTTCCAGGCCAGGGATTATCGTATAAGCGAGCCGATTGCTGTTTTTTACGAGGCAATTATGCTCGCCTCACCGCCTTTCTCTTCCAAGGGGTTTTTTTGGGTATGGCCATTTTCGCGTTTCGGTCCTATCTCATAGATAGCGCATTTATTGCCCGGTTTTTGTCTCTACTGAATTCGTCGCCGGTGTTCATGTACTTCCGTGCAGTTTATTCGTTCACGCTGAGATTGTCATTGCAGCAAGACGCCTAAATCTAATTTGGCTGCTTTTTTCGAGTCGACAGTTGAGTGACAGATGGCGACGGAGTCTGAGATGCGTGCTGGCTCAATTATGATGCTGATGGCAGTAATGAATGTATCACTGACTAGAGATTAAGAAGCGCAAGGTGCAGAAGCGGGCCCTAGCGTGACTGCCAGTAGCCATGGGCCCGGCAGTTGCATCTTTTTTCAAGGGGAAAAGATCCCGAGAGCAGAACTAAAAGATTCGAGAGATCCGAACTCCTAGGCTTGGACTCCCTTGGTTTTCATCCTGTATTGCGAGAGAGGGAACTGCAGCAGCCGGTAAAGCCTCCTAGGCTATACCAGTGGCTGTGCTGGCTGAATGGAGCGCCCAACGAGATCACTCGGACGAACGGTCTGTTTACTCAGACAGGTAGAAGAAAGCTGGATAGCGGTAATTCCTTTTAGCGTCTAGTTGCCTGTGCTTGAGTTTTGTATCGCTTATTCTGAGCAGGAGTATTCAATAAGAACTCCTGGACCGACTCCTTTGGCGTTTGTTGTTGGCGGCGCTGCTATCCGAAAAAAAGTTCCGTTCTCCTCCCACTGTGATCGTTCTTCCCAGTAAGAACTACTTTTTTCGTGGAGAGCAGACCGATAAGCAGTATGGCTGCTACCGCCATTGACACTTTAGGCGGCAGGTATCTTCAAGAGGAATAGTAAAAAGCGCGGAAGAAGGAAGTGGCATGCAATGTATACAGAATTTGGCTTTATACATTGTTGTGGCCGTACTCATCTGAGAAATCAATATTTTCACCCGGAGCATACAGTGACGCAATTAACAGCGTCGCGTTTCAAGAAAACTTGTCCCTACAAAACCGAAAACAGCAATATTGATAACTAGGCCCAGAAACGTTCATTGCCTTTTTTTTTTTTTTTTTTTTTTTATTATATTCAACTCGTCGCTGACCCGGGTAATTGAGATAGACAATAAGTTTCATGCATAATATTTATAATGCTGATTAATTAGTACTGTATTTATCGGAATATCTGATCCATATGCCGATCGGGATGCACTGAAGAGTTGTGTTACCGCTTTGAAGTTCCGGTCGCATCTTAGTCTTAAAAAAAGAGGATCCTAAGCAGTACCTAATATCATTTGAAAACTAAAGGAAATTACATCATATGCAAGCAGCCCATCCTTATAGAGAGAATAGACGTAATGTTTTTAAACCTCGCCACTGTTTAGATCAATTCATGGATCTACTAAATGTCGAATTTACCATTGTACTTTCTTATTTCAGTTGGACTTTTTTTTTATTATCATAAAAACCTTTATTTTTATTATCATATATAATAATTGATTTTTCATATCATAATAATCATAACTATTCAGTTTTAGTTGTCTGCAGACAGCTAAAATTGAATAGTTCGACATCCAAAAAATAAATCCTATGCTTTTCTGTCTTATCTCTGAGACTGCGTTGGATGGCTGCCCTTTAATACAGAGTAAAAATTTGTTCCTCTTGTTGGATTACGCATTTAATAGATTCGTCCGTCGCTGACTGCGATCGAACCAAGTACATATGGCGGCAGAGAAGAATATATATAAAGAACAATAGAAGAATAGATGGATTGTATTTTAAGCAACATTGTTATTTACGGTGAAGAACTAGTTGTAGTTGTTTTTCTACCCATTTCATAGATATCTAGCTGCAAAAAGGAAAGGTTATTAGAGGTTCAACGTTTGGCAGATGAGCGTCACGTTCATGATGCGAGTGGCCTGTAAAATCATTTCAATGGGAAGTAAATATATATAATACATATGCGGCTACTACATGATACTAGCGATGAGCATAAGTATATATGTCTTGCAATTAGTTTCGATTGTTATTTTACTACTTTCAGATCAGAAAAAAAAAAGTCTCTGAATATAAACGAATAATTACTGAAGAAGCTGAATCATGCGAAACCTATTTGGCAGTGACACCTTTGTAAAGCAAATGCATCGTTCACTATTGTCGATTTGTCTTGCAGTAATAATAAAGCGTTGAACATGCAGCTTGTTATTTTTTATGCCGCAGGCAATGTTCAGTTTACGAAAGCTTCTGTGAGGTACTGTGACTAATTATGTTCAGGTTCTGCAATAACCTGCAGTTATCCGAAACGCCTTTAGGCTAACAACAGCTGTTGTCGTATTCGCTATGCCAGGTTAAAGCACTCGTTTTCGACAATTCGTTCTCTGCATGGTCTGAGCCACTTATGCCCAAGCTTAGTTTTCTGCCACGGACACTGGGATAATCTTTGCAAGCATTGCTGAGCTAATAACAATCATTGTTACAGACTGATGAATAATTACATAATAATTTTTTTAATTCATAAAATATAATTTATAAAAAATAATTATGCTCAATTATTTTAGTCAACTATTAAATTCTTCCATTTCGTTCGAAATACTACTCTGCTTGCTCGCTGCGCGCGAAATTTTAAACTTAAGAAATCATGAGAAGGAAACTGACATTTTCCAATCCAAAATTATCATCAGCATGACCAGCAGCGATGTGAAAAGATTTACACGACCCGTTCGGTAATTTCCTTACACATTGGGGATTCAGTTGTCACATTAATAAAAGATTTGAATGTCCCGATGTTTGCGCATATATAAACTGTTTGAGCGGTTCATATGGAAAATTCAGTCAAAGTAATGTTAGCCACATCAAAACAACGCTACTTTTTGTTATAAAAAAAGTCAAACATGAATATTACCATAATTTATAAAAGCTAAATAAAGAAACAACCTATCGATTGCTTTCAAAATAAAGTAAAGACGCATTTCCTTACCTTCGGTATTTATTTGGCGAACGCGCTAGATATTTGGTGCAGTTTTAACTAAACTTTCAAAGATTTGTCGATCAGTTACTGAAATAACGTATAGCAATGCACAGTCCTCTGAAAAGCTACAGGGACTTATAGCCCAATAGAGTTGTATCGTACGATGTTTACACATCTTTTCGGTTCTGTGATTTTTAGACAGCGTCAGCTGAAAGATAAGCGCCTAATTTTCTCTCGGCCTAATTTAAACTCGGAAGCTATTGCAGGTCTTCTGATTGGTTGTTCCTCCCAAAGCCTGTCGAATCAGCCAAACAGGCTCTGTACCGCATTGTTTGACCTAAGGTTACGCTTAGTACCGTGGGAAGTGGCAAATTCGAAACTATGCTGTGTGAAGACCCCATGTTTTAACCTGTGCTGAAGCTAACTAAGGTACATGCATTGTTGAAAAGCTATGTATGTGCATGTCTGCGTATATGTGTGCATTAAATTAGGGTGTTTGCTCCAGATTTATTGTGCATCGTCCGCAACTGAGTTCTAATTAGAGTTTCTAGGCCAAGCGATTTGTCATAAAAGAAACGCTAGGTAGGACCTCCTTTTGGTTTTATTCGGTTCGTCTTAAGTGAACATGGCACGAAGTGCCAATCGATAAGCACAATTTTAGACTGTATACGCAGGCATCTTAAAGAGCGACATTTTAAAGTAAACGTAATTGGCGAAATTTAATATATATAATATCCTTCGGGAATACCTGGAAGGTGTTTCCTTTTTTGGGTCCTTCCCTGTTCTGTAGGCCTATTTCTGCTAATAAAAAAGTGCCTTTATTTTTTACCTATATACTCTCAAATGGTATGAACCCTCTGATAGACGTAACGGGACCAAATTACTGCAGTCCTCAAATTAGGACACTGATCATGAAATATTATGTATCAATGCTTAAATGTCAAGTAGACATAACCCTATATGCACTTTAAATAGCTTTTCCAGCCGATGGCGTAAGCTATGGGTGGCGTAGTTTCACAAATAGCTATAAATACATTGATGACAGCTTACATTGCAGTTTGTTTAATTTTTGAACAAATTCCTGCACGATAAATGACTTTGCTAAACTCCTAAAAAAGACATGAATATCTATATATCTTGTTTAATCCAAGTGGCTGACTCTCCAAGTACAATTCTTGCTGAGCCTATGAGGTTGTATAGTATATTGCTTGCTGACTACGTTTTTTTTCCGATAATATTGGTTTCGCAGTTTTCAAGAAATTGTGGCTAGAAGATACACACCTGTACCCCGTCTCCTGCAGTGAGGCTTCGAGGTTATCGTCATCTATAAAGAAACCTAACGATGGTGCGAATTAGACCTATACATAGGAAGAGTTATCAATTATCTTGCTTAGAAATTTCTTGCTTCACCGTGACAGACTTGGGTTGACTTAATGCAGTTACCTCAGAAATAGCTGTACGGAATTATGGAAGCCATCAGGAACCGCCGCGGGCTAGAAGTCCGAATTGAAAACTACGTTTCTGTACACTACATATATATATGTATGTAAGTACGCAAGAATTAAACTTTACGTATACATTAATTTTTCATGCGCATAATCATAACTAAACCTTCGGCGCTTTGTGCTCAATGTGATACTACCTAAAATGTATTGTAGTGTTCAAGTTTTCGTCCCTCAGGTAACTTGTTCCCTTCCTCCTGTCAAGGTGTTTTTAAAGAGTACCTTACATGTTTCAAGTCTTGTGTACGGTACCGCCCCCTAGGCGTTGCGTTGAACGGCTGGCTCCCACTACAAAATAGGGTGTGTCTACGACTCGCTATTGATCCTTGACAAGCGCACAAAGTAAAACAGTTCAACAGGTCACGCAGTGTGAGGATTACCTAACTGCACGTTAAATATCCACAGAAAAGATCCGCTCAATAGTGAATCTACGAGCCTCAATATAAGGCAGAAAACGTCCCGCTGGTCCGCTTTGTACGCAAAGTTGAAAGCGTATCATAGTACTGTATAATATATCAGTTTTAAATCGATTACGATATCGAACCACAATGTATTACTAACCAAATTGATCGTTCTTCCTCCTCTATTCAGATTTAGGAACGGAGTCGGAATGATCATTTGTAACGATATGCATAGATGAGCTAAACTGAATAACTTGAAAATCCTTATAGGTAACTTTATAATATTAATTTCTAGACTCCCTGTGTTATCCACGATTAGAAAAATGTATATCACTGGACTCGACATAGTCACAGTGAGCTTTAGCAACCGTAATGAAACAATGTCGTTGGAAGTAGAATACCCTTCCTAATATTAAGTAAGAAACCTGCTCTGTTCGTAGACTGACCGAGATACCTTGTCGTTGTGACCGATCGATCGGTGGTAGCGTGTTTGCATGCTAGTTTTACAGACAGTCCGGGTTCGAATCCATGAGCTGACACAGCTTGTCAGCCAGCCGTCTGCCGGAATGCTTAACGGCAATACCCAACAACCCCCAACCTGCCAAAAATGAAGGCAGCTCCTTTTCAAGAACCTGTGTATTTCAGATGGTCAATAAAAATAACAAACGCCAAATAATACCATTGTTTCGTTAATTTGAATGCAGCATAACCTCAGTCACGCGTGCGAATATGATCAGATACGGCCCACAAATTTCCGATTTGCATTAAATCTAACAAGCTTGGGTTTATTTAATGTAAGTGCGTTTAGTTCAGACGAGTCTTTATTGATTGATTTCTGCCGGAACCGCGTTCTCTCTCTCGCAACTTGCATAATGCCATCACTCAACATATTGATCTATACGTATTTGTTGTTGTGATTTTTCTACTGAACGTTAATTTTTAAAGACCTGATAAATGCTGACAGGATATTTTGTCACAACTGCTTACCTGTCCTCGTATTTTGCACTGATTGAGAATTGGATTTGCCCCTGGCTTTTTTAATCCCTGTCCTTAGTGTTCTAATATAATATAATGTCTAATGTGTGTGTGTGTGTGTGTGTGTGTGTGCGCAATTTAATACAGAACGTCCTAATTATAGAGCATTTCAGTCGTAGCGATTTGCAGCACTACATAAGGAAACGAGTTGTTTTTTTTGTGAAAATATATCAAAATCATACGAAAATTTCCTCTGCTATTTAACGTCCCAAAGTTCTTATGACGCTGGTCGATGCTTACAAAATATCAGCAGAAGTCTTAGCAGACTCAGAGGCGGCAGCGGCGGCGGCGGCGGCGGCGGCGGCAGTAGCAGCGGCGGCGGCGGCGGCGGCAGGAGTGACCCGACGCAATAGAAATCGCTCTGACTGTTAGCAAACGAGCGGGTGCCGCGTGGGGCTGTACGGGTGCTGCTGACTGCAGCGCCACGACCAGGTGCGCGAAATCACGACTCTTTTAGTCGAGTAGTAACGACAAAAGCAAGTACGTCAACATCAATACGAACCACATCAACAAGATCCGTATTTCGGTGGCGGCAGCGACTGATTACCGTAGCCTGTCTAGCAACATAACGATAGCAAATGCAATAGAAGTATCTCTTTGATTAACGATTCGCTATATCACTACGAATATAGAAGCACTCCACATATCAGCGTACAGACGTTCCGTGGTTAGCTCGGTGGCAATGGCGCCAATAAGAAATAAACGAGAAACTGAATTCTCGCGGGAAGGAGCGAACGTTCAACATAGGCTAGTAATTTTTACTGTGTCATCAAAAAAGGAAAACAAAGAACGAAAAGCCGCACTAATTATAATCTACAAAGATTCAATGAGTGCATATTTATGAAAATCTACTCGAGACGGTAGCGGTTCAGGGAGGAGCAGGTCTAACTGCTGTACAACTGCAGACACGCTATGTGTGAAGAAACCAAAAAATTAGAAGCATACTATTATTTAGCCTTCATGAAGTCGATAATGGTGTAAGTGTGATTCGCTGATCTTCAGGATTAGGATTAAGAACCGGACTTTGTTCGTGAACTCCTTTTACAAGTCTCTCAGCTAGCGGTAACACAAAAGTGTCTCCTAATGGACTTATGGGTTTAGTTTGAATGTTGGTTAAAGCATTTTGTAACCAGATGTGCATACTACTAGCCCATCGATGTCTCAGGGAGCATAATTATAGTACGGTGTAGTATCTTCTATCGTCCTTAACTAAGGGGCGTTGGTATACCTTTATTGTAGAGGTAAAGAATATGATGGAATCACTTATTCTGTGTAAGTTTTTTACTTTGAGACTTTCCTGATATATCGGCGATTACGGATTCTGTCAGGGCTTGTTTATATTATAGCGAACAACGCAGTAGGTCCATAGATCGCCACAATTCGGTCATACCTGTCAGAATCTCTAGCCTTTAGTCCACATAGAGACGTTGCCCCTTTGAAAGTAAGGCGCGCCTGTTTCATATTTCTTCATCCTCTTAAACTCTAGTTACTTAGGGCAGTCAAACCAGGATTTCTGACGATTCACAGCCTTGTCAGAGTTACTGGATTGGGACATCGTTCTGGCTGGACACAGCATCTTCCTTTTCCCGATAATTGAATCAATCCTTGGATATATATAAGAGCAGTGCCTTTGTATAAACTGTGTCATTACTTCCACACGTCAAGCGCCTACTCAATAAAATTTGTGGGTGATTTAATTCATGCTATTCTAAATTGCGTTTTCGAAATGATTGATCTTTACCACTATAGTATAAGATTTAGCGTCCCAACAATGTATGATACAACGTAGTAGCAAACACCTAAATGTTACATGCAAAAATTTTGACAAAAGTCCGACACCCTATGTTATCTTACAGGTTTGAAGTTAAGCTATATTTAATGCTTTCGTATTAAATCTTCCATCTCAGCTGAAAATTAAAATTTGCCGGTTTGAATGCTTTGATTTCAAACTGAGACTGCTAGACCGAACGATTCGACGAAAGTTAGTTGGACCTCATAAATATCGCTCCTATATAGAGAAAATTCTATTGGCTTTTTTTTATGTTGGACAATCTTATATTATAAAGCTATATTATGAAGCCATATAAGGTGCTGCGTAGTATGTAAACAATGTGTGGAATCGTCGTTGAACATCTTAAAAGTAATACGGGAGGAGTACGTCTTCCACTAGATACTTTACGTGGAATTTGCAATCTTCACGGATCCACATTGTAGGGGCGCCCTAACCCCGAATATCGTTCTTGCATAAGCAAATACATCTAAAATTTGCTGTCGTCGACGTCGGACAAGGGAGAATTTTAGACGTCTTTTATGGGAATGGGACAATGCAACACGCAATGTAGAAACATTGTACAAGGGTTTTTCTTCGAGTCGTACAACGACCACCTGAGCAGTCAATGCAAGAGATTGGATTTGCCATTCGGCGCTAGTGATACACTTGTGGGAAGTCAATGTACCCTCCCATGTCTGATTTGCCTGTTGTAAATGGTTTGGTCATTTTGAAATATAGATAAATCTATACAAACATGTTTATGTGAATCTAGACACGTAGAAGCCGAAATCACGCAATATTACAAACCAAACACATTAAATCTACGATACGGTAGGCCAGGTGCAGAACAAAGGAAATGCCCGCAGACCTTCTGTAACTTTACAGGCTTCGCAGATTTAGCGAAGCCTACGTTTTGCTACAGGGTGAATTAAACGTTTGGTGACGTGGAGCGCAACATGGGGTCTCTATCTCCAGATGGGTTATTTAGGAAGGGCTCAAATGTAACTAGTAACATCCGTAGCCGTCAAATAAGACCGACTGGGGCAACTGGTCAAAATGCTATTGTCGAGCTTATCTGTCAGCTAAAACTAATTGATCATTCAATGACGTAATAATTTTTTTTTTTTTTTACTTTTATTTGAAGTGTGTTTATAATCGAATCTATTTTGTTATGAACGGCGCTCGCCAGTAACTGTGCTGATAACCCGCTGCTCGCAACCCTGGCGATCATATGCGTGAAAAATTAAGTTACGTTTAGAGGTAACTCAAAATAACATTGTATCTCGACTCTCGCCATTGATAAAAGAGCCTCTGCTTTTAGAGTCGATCAATTCTTGCTTTTAACTCTGTCTATATATAACATAGATGTCTGCATATGCTGCTGCTGCTACTGCTGTTGATGATACTTGTATCGATGCAGCGTGGCTGTCTGGCGACGCTGGCACTCTTCTAAGCTTTTAGCTATGGCGTCTTAGAAAATATCGTTAGCACGAAAGCAGACGAGACACTATTTCCAAACCCTTGGCAACAACGGCTGACTAAAAGCAACATGCTGCGAAATAGTCAACTATATAGAACTTGTTTAAGTTATTCGTTTTGTTCGCTTGTGTTTTGAGTACAAAAGACGGTAAAGAATACTGAAAACGTTCTACGTTCGATGGTGCTACGCCATCGATGCGACTCGTTCTTCGCGACAGGAATTCGAGTAATACACAATCGATGGCTCGTTCCGGAATGAGCCGTAAGGCAAGTCTGAGCGTTTGAATCTTACAATGGCGCAGTCCTCCACCGTCACCGGCGTCATGAACGCGATGAGGCAGGCGGAGTGCTGGAATCCGCTTTTTTGAAAAAGGTCATTAGCACTTTTACAGGTTTCCTTTGGGTAGACGAAGCCTGCTTACCTAGTTGGCCATGGGTTGTAAGGGCAGGGCAAAACAGGCAGCCAGAAAGAAAAAAATGCAAGATAGAACGCGATTACGCAAGAGGGAGAGAGAGAGAGAGGTCGGGGAGGGGATGTAGTGATAGAATGAATGTCAAGGCGAAAAATACAATGCAGTGCGATGAGTTCCAACTAACGACAGTAGGTACGGAACATAACAGAAACGATAGCGATAAAGTAAATGATGTAGAATTTCTTTCAAGGGAGTGAAGCTCACATTTACACGTAATAGGGGTCGATCTGAAATTCGCTTTTTAGAGGGACGCTTACTTCAAGTACATAGGCTGGCCCCCCGGAAAGAATAAAGCATACAGATAGCTTAATGTCCTTGTTCGTTCCATTAAACTTACCTTATTTCATGCGTTACCTGAACGTTCGATATACATATTCCTTGGCTTTTTGTCCTATCCAATATATTGTCGTTAATGTGAAACTTTTTATAGTTGCTTGTAAGTTGTGATTCGTAAGTAGAAGGTTTACATGTTTGTGTCGCAAAGCATGCCATTATTATTCGGAGTCCGTTTTTTAGCCTTTTCCCTCGGTTACCGACCTCATTAGTATTCCGTTATCATTCTTGCCCAGCATTAGTAAATATTGGGTAATAATTGATTTCGTGTGAATTACAGAATACTTATGGACCCATTAGACGGATCGAATAGCCACCAACCGGGAAAATAATATATCACATTCAATGCAGTATGTGTTGCAATGTAATAATAAATATTAAATAAATTAAACACAAATCGATATTTTCGATGTCAGATTATATGTTTAGTTGTATGAATTATCTGACATACGTTGTGCTAATACGTTGCAGCTGTCAGTCAGTGATAATACAATCAGAGAGATGGTAGCGACATTTGGGGAGATCTGAAAGTAGTCCTTCATTTGTCCTAATGGAATTGACTAAATGGATGGAACGGGGTCGTAGTTGTGTGCTCCGCGTGGAACTTCGAGCGCATTGCAAACTATTTACTTGAGACTACCCCTGCGCGACAACGTCTAAGGTGTCATATAAGCGAAAGATAGTCTTGGACGAGGCAAGTAATCGGTCTTCGTCGTCGCCATCATCGTCACTCTCGCTTTGTCATTTAACAATCGGAAAGACAAGCAGTAGATAATCGTAATATTGCTTCTACTGTCTCAATGTCCTGTCCTAGTATTTGTGCATGTGCACGATCTGCGTGCTTTTTTTTTTAAGCATCAGAGAGAACAGTGACCCTGCCCAGTGATATTTTCGACTAATGAGACATAGTATAATAAACACTATCTTATCTTCGTTCATTTAGGTTATATCTAGAAGTTGATGGGTAGTCACTAGTTTGCTGCAATGTGGAGCTGCGAAAGTTGCTGAGATTGTTAGCTGATATTACCATAGACATATATATCTTCCTATAATCAGAAATAGAACTATCAAACGTTGCGTAAGATTGTTGCATTTGTGATACATGGATGCCTGTACCATCCTATTTCTTATCTAATATATACCCTATTTTTTCTTTCAGAACCACGAGTGACAATTACGGGGGTACTAGGTGGTCAAGTCGGTCTTCCCTGTAACATACAGCCCAACTCGTCAGATGACGAAGTCTCACTGGTGTTGTGGTATGTGTACTTACGTTGATAAAGTGATTGTAACATAGGTTCGTAGCTGATATGTCTACTGCTGGCGCTCAGAGTTTAGCGAAAATAGATCTTTTAGCCCATTTCTGCTAAGGCAATTCGTAAACCGCACATTCGGGGCTCCCGACAAGATATAATATCAACTCCGAGCGCAAGCTACCTAAATAATAAAAATATTTTACTAGCGCTATCTGATGATTTAAGTTCCCAAAAGGCAATCGTTTACTGTAGATTGGAAACTTTAATTTGTACTCAACCCAGGCAGATTACAAAGCATAGTACATAATCTAATACAGTGTATCAGGCCCCTTGTACGGTTAAGGGCTTACAACAGGGCTTGAAATTGAAATACAGACGGCTTTTGTCATATTCGAAACCGCTTCGTGCTCTTTAAAATGTTAATATATTAAGCTTGTTTTATTGATTACAGCCGCTAGTACTAAGGGGGAAAAACACAGAAGAACTAAGAGACAACAAAAACTGCACAGTTTACTTTCAAATGGGAAAAAAAAATCACTTTCTAAGGAACGAATCAATCGATTGCGTGTGGTAGCAGCGAAACTGTGCATCTGTTTATCAGTATAGTCAATTATAGACTGTTTAGAAAAAGCCAGTCATTTAAAAGCTCAGATGTAGTACAGGCCCTAATAAGCAGAGCTGTTAGAAGAAGGTCGCAGCGATTCGGATGTACATTGATTGCTATAGAATGGGAAGAAAATGGGGCCCGGCAGCGCCTAAGCCATCCGTAGTCCCCGAAACAAACGACCTACCTCATATTCACCGTTTATTAATGCTGAAGATTGTCGCTTGCACAGTTCTTAATAGCAAACTCGACAAAAGAAGCTCAGTCTGTGGCTTGATACCAAATTAGTCACTGGCCATTCAGATGACAACTTTGTGTAGGAAGCTTGGCAACAGTATTATCTGTTTTGCGTAACTATTACGCACAGCTGGTATACTAGTATCCGTCACGTCTTAGTAATGTAAGCCGAAGCTACAACAGATTTGCCATGCACGCCATCTTTTATCGGTGTCATATCGTATTAGTTGTAACTATCGGTTCGTGTAATTAATATGAACATTGCTTTCCTCCATTCGTACCGCTGTGGGAAGGAAGAGAAGGTCTTTGATGAACAATTTTCAACGGCTAGTGGGTCGTGGACTATTAAATGCCGGTTTTCATGGGTCGCGTAACGTTGAAAGGACGGCCGAATTTTATACGTGCTTGATCCAGGATTGTTGTATATTAGATTGATATAGATGTTGTATATGTTATTATTTTTCAGTGGAAAGAAGTTTCGAGGGGTAGAGATCTTTGGAATCGGCCGAATGTGATCAAGAAAATTTGACTCTTGAAAGTCGAGAGGGTTGCATTTATTCGCTTAGATTTAGTAATGACACGGGACTAGAAGCGCCTCCGTCCTTTTTCTTAATCATCGGTATATTTAAGACTAAAAACAGATTCACAAAAAAGGGTGATAATATTATAATTCCACAAAAAATACTCATGCACCTAATTTGGGTGAAAGTTTACAGAGCAAACATTGTTATACAGCTTCAACTTGGTTGGTTTTCTATTGATGTCAGGAGTACACATTGCTACGAAGCCATATTCTTTTACCTATTTCGGATGTTCATGCCGTGCGTCTTCGAGATCGCATAAATAGCCGTGCGTGCTTCATGTCACGCGATCTTTTCCCGCTACCGTCCTGTTGAGCATCTGACGAGTGCTCTGTTGGCAGAATATGTATTGTTCGTTTATGTATCTTGAAAGGTACTTTCGTCAGCGCGGCATATACATGATCAGCGGAACGGCATGTGTGTCGTGAATAACGGGTTCACTGCATAACGTACGCACGCTCACGACGCAGCTCTTTTTCCATCCGTTAGATTTTATTTGCTCTTTTGTCGAAACAGAATGTAAATAGCTAGGCCGTGCAATGGACACATCTGTCAGCCGGATTACGAATCGTTCAACCACGCAACGGCTGTAAAAGAAATGTTAAAGATAGTAGGTTATGCGATTGTTTTCCTTTTCCCGTTTCGGTGTAGTCGAGTTGTTCAACCATTCGCAGTGTAAAATCAGCATGGCCTGAAGCCGCGTGTAAAACTACTATATACATTGACGATATGCTGAAGAGTACCTGCTCATTAACTGTTCTCGACAGATCTGCCTGAGCGTCAATCGTGTTCCTGTTGTACATAGCAGAGCCCCGTCAATTCTCCCTTGATTATATCCAAATGGCAACGACAATTATGGACACCTAAACGAAAAGGCAACCTCTTCATCGTAAACATATACTATATCTAAAATGGCAAGCGAGCTTTTTCAACGGACCTAGATTTCGAGTTCAAACTCTAACCTAAACAACATGGCATATCAGTGAATATCTGATCTGGGAATATTTGACACTATCATACGTACGAAGTGAACGTGGCTCACGTTTTTTATTCTTGGCAGGTACAAAGATGATTCGACTACGCCGATCTATTCACTTGACTCGCGTAAGACAACACTCAGAAACGCACATCATTCACCGGCCCACTGGCTAGCTGGACGGGCGTACCTACAAGCTATAACCAGTGGTACTTCAAGTTCGACGCACCACGACGTGCTGCTTTTGCATGACAGCAAAAATGGAGGCTCTTCCGATGAAAACGTATCGACCACCTTTTCGAGAGGCCTTCGAGGCGACGCCAGTACGACAAGCAGCCTTGTTACAATTAACAACGGCGCGACGGTGAATGGCATGATCCAGGGACCTCCCAGCCCATCAGTGTTGACACTGGATCCATTGGAGAAAGAAGATGAAGCCCTTTACCGATGTCGGGTCGACTTCAAGCGAGCTCGGACGCGAAATTATGAAGTACAACTGGTTGTCATTGGTAGGTCATTGATTTCTTTATTGAAAAAATATTCAGATTCAGACGAGAATAGAGCAATCAAATTATAGAAAATAGCTAGAGTTTTAAACAAACGACGACCCCCAAAGACCAGTCGATTAGCTGTTCAGAATTGTGTACATCTCATGAAAATTAATTTGTGAACGCAAAAATCCGTAGTAATATTACGACATACTCGCGTCCTGCTGGCGAACCCGTGGGCAAAAGTACTCGGCTCGCTAAAACCATATCAATGCAAAAATAATAATCATAGATTTCATAGCCGCTGCAAAGGGTACCTGTGGGTAGAAGGCGTAAGTGAGCTCATATGTTAGCTGGCATACAATACATATACAACATACACTCATGTTTGTACTATGATAAATTGAAAGCTACACATACGCCCTGAATGACCAGTTCATATTCAGGTTCGGCTCGTTTCGTCCGGCTAATTAAATCCTACAAGTACCTAATGCGAACCTAAAAGTAACGAATGCCGGCTCTGCGATCTCTATCACTTGAGAAGTGTTGACAACAAATGCTCAAGGACTGCCCGTGACTCTATTTTCACTCATTTGTCAAGTATTGTCGTTTGCTTAGTAAAATTTGAAAATAAAGCGGTTGAGAATAAAATCCTTCTTTTTAAGTGTAATAGGTTGGCTCCTCTACCTGAGTCTTTTTATTACATTCTGCATTGAAGCTATGCGGAAGGTCCCACAGTGATTTCGTTGCTCAGCTATAATACTGCCTTATAAATATAATTCTAAATCAAGCATAGATGATTATGAATATGAGGCTGTGGCTCTAGAGATATTAGTGTAAGTCATCTTAATATATATCTCACTTTTATATATAATCCCTCTTTCAACTATGACTTGTAAGCGTTAAGTACGAAATAACTGTAAAAGAAATCTATCGATACGTTAAAAGTTTCAGCTACATGCTACAATCACTATGGCGGACTAATAGACTATTCGTCGATCTTGTTGGAAGTTATCGTCGAATAGAGATGCGTTTAAACTAGATTAAACGAATACTGATGATTATTATCATGATGGTCATAATAACAGAGCAAAGTATATGGCGCCACCGAAATAACAGCAATCTGGAAATATATTCCATTTTCAAATTCCGTGTAGATTTACAGCGCATGAGGATTTACTGTCTTTCCAGGCTTCCAAAGTTCCTTTCCGATAAGTCTGCTATTAGGAGCGCTCGTGTCTTCCGTACGTTATCAACAATCGAGCGGATATCAGCGTTGATGTCGTACATAAACAGAGCCTTTTGAAAAACTCCACAAATGCAGCTTTAATTTATTTTCGTTTACTTTCTATTTACGGAAGTGCCGGGTAAACAATCGAGCGAATCGGAAGTGAAATGAACGCCAACCGCGATGAATGGTGTGACACCTTAAGAGGTCCTATATGGACTTCACATGTAATAGAGCTTTTACTAGCGTCAAACAGATAGAACTTGATATTTCGTACACCTGAACTAGGCGAGCAATGAATTTAGCGTAACGGTTGCTTTTATTGATGAAGTGTCGGCAAAAATTTAGCACATCTATTAATTGGCATTTCACAATGTCTATTTTTGTTCTTTCAGTTCCTCCGTCTCGTATCACAGTGACAGATCATCGTGGTGCGGTCCTGGCGGACAAACAGGTCATCGGACCCTATAACGAGGGCGAGAAGGTAGTACTAAAGTGCCAAGCACATGGAGGTAAGCAATTGATTTTCTTGAAAAATACCACCAACCGAAAACTGTCCGAGTAATTTCGAGCCTCGAAACAAACGCGATGGCCACCACCTATTACATCACTCAATAACTGAGTTACAAAGTACCTGAATTACGTCATTCAAATATGGTACGGGTTGCACGTCACTTATACTGTTCCCTTTTTAAGTTCTATTAGTGTCAAAAATGATGAGAGAGTGAGGAATTCTTATTATTTCCTGTTACCGATGTACAGTCTTGTTATTTGCTGCACAGTCATTTTTTTTCGTGTATACAGATATATTATTGCGAAACTATACTTATTGTGACGCGTCCACAGTATTGCCTCGGCCTTACTATGATAATTGGGAAATTGTAGAAAATAGCAGACGATATGCTTATTATGTCATTTTCTGTGTGGTCGTGTGCATTACTTCATTTATCCTTTACAATATTTAGCTATTGCGTTTAACAGTATCGTGTGTAACTGCTAGATGTATGAACCTGTTTTGCAAGCGCTTTAGCTGTCAGACGATGACTGTGTCCTTCAAGGTAACCCCCCTCCAGTAGTTACATGGTATCGACGTCTACCTCCCATCGGAGGTTTAGGCGGTACAGCCTCACGAGCAAGCCAGCAATCACGTGCGCTTGACGTAGAGTCTAAGGCGAGTCATTCCTCGGAGTATCCAAGTAATTTGGAAGAATTCGGTTCGAAAATAGCGACGTCGCCTGCATATTCTTATCGGGAATTACACGGGTAAGCACGGCATCCTTGTATGAGTCAGGTGCTTCGAGTGAAAAAAGACCCCTATAAATAGTATCCTTTTAGGAGCACGGTAAATTCTGGTAGTTTGGGGCACATTAAAAATTAATATACAAACGCAAATTTGAAGAAAAAAAAAAACGCTTTCCTCGTTTTTTTTTTTTCGATTTTTCAGCAGGCCAGGTTCCTCAAGTCGAGGAGCTATATCCAATACTGTGGATCTTGTGCTGCCTCTTCTCAGTCGCGAACACCTGCTTTCGTCGTATTCATGTGTGGCTTTGAACAATAATATTTCAAAGCCGCTCGTCTCGTCAGTTATCCTCGACATACATTGTGGGTATCTTCTATTGAGCCTATCACTCACTTCGCCGTGCGGAACGCGCAATATACATTTAATAATACCACGTAAACGGAACGATCTGGAGAAAACCAGAAGGTGATACTGTATGTCCTGCAAATGCAAACAGTATCCAATAGCGCTTCTAGGAGAACTCACCTGCAGAATTATATAACATGAAGTATAACAAAACGCCTACACCATATATAGGCAGTGTGCTTTCGAGTCACACGATTTTCAGTGAAAATCTCCGAGCAACGCTTATTATTACCTACTAGGCACCCCCTGATGTTACCGCGCCATTAAGACAGAACTATGGCCTGGTTTATATAACATGTGCAGCTTCACATAGACGGTAGGGAAGGGTTAATTTCGTTTGAGTATGACGAAATAACACGTTTCTCAATGTACCAACACCGATTATTGTTCTCGTCTTTTCTATGTGCGTTTCCCAGTTACCCAGTACTTGAATTTAGAATCGGTAAACAGTCTCGAAATTGACCGTAGAGGCCGTTGTTGTTATTGCTGCTACTTTCTGACCAATCAATAGTCATTAATTCGAAAGTCAAACGCAAACTCGAGCGGCCTGGAAGGAAAGTATTGCAACGTACTTTGTCTGTAATCGCTGATTTGTGCCTAATTAGCACTTAACGTAACGTAACGTACGCTCAGAAAGGCCATCAGTGTCATTGATTCCACTTGATCAAATGACAGAGTAAAACAGCCGTGTGCTTTAACATAGTTCCAGCTTGAGAGAAACAGAGAACCATTTGATATCTCGTATAATATAGAATAGTCGTCCTCTTAGTAACTTTAAAGTCGTCGTCCTGTTGTTGTAAATTGTAGAATAGATAATATCTAGAAAATAGAAACAGAAGGTTGTAGAATTGTGCAAAGCATCTGTTGACCCGTTATAGAGTATCATGTTGTTTTTTTGCCTGGACAAAGACTTCTGTAAAAGTTGCCTTTTACATAGGTCCTCGGCGGTGTTCTATTCCGTTGCATAAATTCTAGTCTATCCAGCTGTTTGCCCCCCTGTCGAAAGTAAGGCGCTATTCAGAAATAGTCGATGATTTATTCATTAAACATTTTGTTGGTCGGCATCCTATTTCCGTATAAGTACGTATGTAATATTGTTTGGAATTGTTGGAAGATTCAGGCACAATTAGTTCATAACAGTAACAACTGTTGTCGTTGATTGCAGTTCGTCCACAACGTGTATGGATTTCGGGTGGTTTCTCGACGGCAGCTGTCAGTGGCTCGGCTGTGCTCCAAGCGGGTGTACCAGCTACGTTTCAGTGTTCTTCGTCGGGGTCAAGGCCGCGAGCGGTAATCCAATGGTTCAAAGGTGGAGAGCGGCTTAATGCTACAACCGACTCAGCAAGTCCGTCAACAAGCTTAGCCTTATCATTGTCGAAATCATTGTCGCGTCCCGCTAGAGGTGGTTATACCCTCCTACGACAGTTCCGCTCTCAACGGGTAAATCCCGACGCACTGCAAATGCGCCTTTGTTTCTAGAAGACTCGGTCAAAGTTTCAGATTTGTTCAAGGACAAAAATGAATTATTGATTGGATTGAAGAGAACGATTTCGAACAAAGAGAAGCACACCTCGGTATAGATCGATACAAATTTATCGTCTCTCTGTGTTTGCTTGAGTACTAAGCATTTCATGGGTTTACCATTAAAAATGGTATACGCCTTCAGCTGATTACTTATCCCGAGCATTAGCAGTTTTTCGCACGTTCAAAAGTATACAATTGCAGCATTTGAGCTTGCGTATATAACCGGCTAAATATGAATAGGTAAAAGCGATAGTTTATGAAACCATAGATACAACAATGCTTAGTTAGCACTGGCTTCATTTTATGTTTCGCATCTGTCAAACAGAGTCTAAAAAACGCGGATCGGCCCCCGGGAACGGGTCCGAGAACAGCGGGGAATGGGACGCCTTCATCAGGGAATTGGCACACGTCAACAGTCGAATTTGTTCCGAGTCCAGAGGATGACGGCAAGACTCTTACGTGCCGAGCGCACAATCCCGCCATGCCAAGCAGCCACTACGGCCGCACCGCAGCGACATCTTCTTCCTCATCGTCATTCCATTTGGGGCCGACGGGGATTTCAGGGGAGACGAATTCGGATGGAGCAGCAAATAGTATGGCGAGCCATACAGCCTCCCATCACCCCGCTAGATCTTCTAATACGCCAATCAACGCCATCGACGATGGCATTAAATTGCACGTACAATGTAAGCAAAGCTTTATTATTTTACTCGAATTTTCCAGAGTCCCGTTAACGGCAGAATTTGTTAGGTGATTACGTACGGAACCCCACACAGTAACCCTAAAGTTCGTTTATTTCATAAATCAGAGTTTCACCAAGCTGGTATAATTTATCAATGGTATCATATATATTTATATATATATATATATATATATATATATTTATAAATTTTTTTTCTATCTTTTATTAGAAAAAAGGCTTTCACCTCCCCCCACTTTTGAATGTACTAAACAGTGGAGTAGGCAGTGATTTCAGGTCGTTACCAGTGGCTGGTAACCAGCGTGATTTGATATTGTCGTGTGGTGATCAAAAAGATCCTCCAGACTTTGTCTATAATATTCATTTAAAAAAATATAACACAATTCCAGCACAACTGTTATGGCAATGATGAAATTTTCTTTATTGAAAATATTGCCAGCTATGTTAAAAGAGGGCAATGTTTCAATTATTCTACCGATAATCTGAATTGTATGAATCGTCTAAGAAATACGTTTTGGTCATCGTACCATAACAGGCAAGATAGAGACAAAAAAGCACTTTCTCGTCTAGTCTCCAATGGCAAACAATACACAAATACGCAAATTTTTATCAAGATGATACAATTAAGTCCCTTGACCAGTCTTCACTATGCCTTTGTTTGATATTCCTTGCGATGCCCAAATTGAAAGCGGAGGCGGACGGATCCTGAAATCAAAAGCTATTTTCATCGTCTTTACATTTTTTAAATATAAAATAATTTTCAAAGTATTGCTCATTAAACATCTCTATTGCTCTCCAGGAAGAAGCTCCGAGTAGCTATGTGAAAGCCAGCCGATAAATAGGACTTTGACTTGTGCCATATCTTTTCCCGGTCTTAGCAGTACAGAGGCAAACTGTGAAGGCGTCCGAAAGGTAGTAACTTGTATTGTCTGTGATTCAGTTGGAGCGCGTTGTTTACTATATGTGAAAGATACAACGCTTCATGGTATTAATCTAGATAGTATTAAACACTAATTCTGTAGTTAACCTAAGTATCGAACTTCATTGATTGCTTCAATCAACGCAATGTAAAGTTGTCCGCATCGCGCTTTTTTTTTCTTGAGAATCGGTCCTATGAGAGTTTTTGGCTGACAGCACTCGTTCCCTTCTATCAGTTTGAAGAAAGATTAAGAAAAGGAAGGAAGGAGAAGCGATTGGTCTGCTCATTTGTTAAGAGTTACCTCGTGCTGAGTTGCTCTCGTCCATCTGTTACACATCTTCAATAAAGCGTTTGGATCGCACTTAACGATTCATGAAGGCCAGTAGAGTAGTATCTGTTCAAATAAGCAGATACCGAAATTTGGCCTTCAGTAAGTTTGCATAAGCACATTTCTACATGATAAGTTATAAAACAAATGCATGCATTGGGTTTCAACAAGGTCATTAGGACTTGGCAAAAGAACTCTACACATAACAAAAAAATTAGAAACCATACAACAAATACAGCTATTTCGACAGTAAAGCATCAGTTTTTTTTAACTTTTGTACTGTAGTTATCGTAACGAAGTGCCGAATACCATAAGTAAAGGAAAGTCTCGTTCGTTGGGCAGTTGTGCCATGACAGCTCCTTTTAATCACGACACGCATACCTGATTAACAATAACAAAATGATCGAATGTATCCGCTGCTGTTTAGCGCTTAAGTTCGATCATCTTTATCTATAAGCGATTATGGATCTCGGCCTCCATACCATATCTGGCATCTGGCCTTCGCCTCAGAGCAAAACTACAGTTTTTATGATCTCAAGGCAATGTGGACGTATGTATTGTCATAGGCGCAGTTAAGAGGCTACCTAGTAAGTTTTGCAGTATCGCAGTCTATCGCGTATAGCATGCTGACGAAAACCTCCAAACACTATCGTACAAGGGCACATACTGACCCAGGTGATCACGTTATTTGACGCGCCGTTTGAACGTTGTTTTGTTTCTGCAAATCTTTTGTATAATATGCGCTAGCTACAGGATTGTGCGGTGAACAGTGCAGAGAAATGAAGCGACCTGTTTGAATAAAAATGGGAAAAATCAATTTTGTTTTATATAATCAGCGAATCACTTCACGCTCTAAATGTCAAATCAACTACCACTTGCGTTAATGTTATTATTATTATTCTAAGCATAATTTATCTAATAAGCGACCATATCATTAACTAATAATATAGTGAAATTATATATGCATTAAAATGTCGTGTTTTTTTTATTATCTCTATTTTTCCCCATTATACACAAAGTCAACGGCCTACATACTCTCATATAAAGCGCGAGGTTCTGTAAAATTATGCGTATCATGATATATACCACATGCTTCGATGGCGGATGCTATTTCTGGCCGTTGACTACAAATTAACTTCGGGCGAATCAGCGATTACTTCGCACGGTACAGAAATAGGCCAGTTAATATTGCAATTTATTTTTACTACAAGCAAGACCGAAATCATGCGGAGGCAAATCGTGCTATGTAGATTTACAAAAACGAGGCCACAGTGATCAATCTATTAATACAGATAGGTTCATTTGGCCAGATCAGCTATACTTGTGTGTAGACGTTGGCCGTTGGGCCTCAGTTGGAAGAAGTTTTTGCCAATAGTAATTATCTGTTTCTTTTAGTGAGATTACATTTTTAGAACTCTTCAACATCAAGACAATGCATTTGTGAGTGGCAGGACCGTCAAGGCCTATCTCTAGTTGTTTTGATCATGCTAGAAAATAGTCCATTGTCTCTTCGCGTGATAAACAACTATGAAATGTTTAACATGACTTTTCATATTTGTAGAACAATGCGCCACAGAAGACAAGCGACGAAAGAGGCGCCTTTACTGCAACGACCTGCGAGTCGACGGGCGTGATTACTATAGCCTTTACGCTATTGTATTTTGTTGCAGTACTTTTTTATTCAGGGCTGTCACCCTCTCGATTCGTTCCGCAATGCAACAGACTAAATTGGTGATACCTTTAACTTGCGTATCTGTTGTGCAGGTAACAAGAATCGTTGCTTTTTTTGTTTCATAAGCCGCCATTTAAAGTCTATAGTTGTCCAGTAGTAAAAAATGGAATTAAGGACAGTTCTGTAAATGAGCGCCACATTATCAATTGTCAATAAATAACTAGCGTAATGGCGTACTCACGTTTGGCTACCCGCAGATGCTTAACTCAATATAAAATAGGATTCTATAAACGTTCATTTTACTGGTTTAGCAAGTGGGTTCAATATTAGGATCTGTTACACTTTCATTTTTCATGGCCTTACGCTCTACGGCTTCGGTAGTATTGGAGTCCGAAAAAGCTGTACAGAAAAAACTATATTGAACTCACTTGCTAAACTAGTAAAATGAACGTTTATAGAATCCTCGCGGCCTCATAACTACACAGCCTAGAAATATGTGTTACTCTTACATACGGGTTTCTTGCACACAGAATCGTGTACATACAAGAAGTGCTTATCTAGCTGGAACGCTCGTCACGAACTCTCACTCATAGCGAAATCAGCAAAAGCGACCATAGGCACTGAGCCCGATGAATCGAAGACAAATTAGAGCAAGCGTCAACGATATCGCCAAACAGCGAACAAAGATTAAGGAAGTAGTAAATTTCAGTGAGACAGATGACTGTGGGTTGCTGCTGTGACACACTACAACCCAACCATTTCTGTGTTTGTGTTTAAACGTGAGAATAGAGAGCGATGCACAGGAAGAAGGACTGAAGCAGGATGTGACGGGGGACGTCAAAGGACAGATGTGAAACGTCGCACATCTGATGCGCTAGCATCGATAAGAGTCATTATCAAACCGACTACTTTCTATATACTGAGGAGAAAAGGGAAATAGAAATGCAAATGCCACCAGAAATTATTAGGCGAACGAAGAATGTCACGCGGCGAGGTACGCAAAGATCCGATGGCTGAATCACTAGGATAGTGAGGAACAGCTTTGAAGATAAGAGAGCTTAGTAGGAAGATAAAACATGAGAATCGGGTCAACTGATAGGGGAAAAAGGGCGAGTTTGCGTCCGTTCCTATTTTATCCTTTCGGTGTCGATTTAGCTGCTTCTGCTGTTTCTATTATCATACCCATCGGCGCCCCTTTTCTAAAATTCCGCATGCACTGCCACTCCTACGGAGAACCAAAACAACCCACGCTTGTCCATACACCACAGCCACATAGTCTATATGCGCCGGTGCGTCCCTTCATATAAATAACCCTGTAGCAGCTGCGAACAGTAGGTTATGTATGAGATATGAAAAGGCAGGCGGCAGGGTAGTGACAGACTTAAAACAGGACCCAGTTTGTAAGACGATGGAAAGCGACTACACCAACAGCTGCAAAAGGTGTAAACTAGTGCGATCGGATGGCACGACGCAACGCAGCTGAATAAGCTGACAAAGAAACGATTTGTAACTGAATAAATTTATGACATATGCGAAAACGAAACATTCTGTTTAGGGGGTTTGCGGAAGAAAAAAGAGAAAGTGTTTTCTAAATTTGACTACCGTAGCCCCCACAGCATAATAGCGGCCTCTGTAAAATGTGCGGCGTCCATGCTGAAGATGGCGGTGGGATGAGGACGGCGAAATGTCGTGGGGCTTATCGCTGCCCAACAAAAAGATCCTACCTGGGGAAATTTCATTTGCCCTAACCGGTAGCAAGGGCTGTGTTGTGGCAACGACATTGGCGGTAGCGGCAGCTCCAACTACAATAGTCATATAATATGTTGATACAAGACACAACCGACGGAAGGCAAGCAAAAATCGCAAAGAAACGTAAAACGCCAACGACTAAGATATACATTTGTATTTATATAATTCCAATAACTACACAAACAGGCAAATAAAGGGAAGGACGATCAAATAAACGTAGCTTCTGAAGCTGCTGGAAGGAGCCGGAAAGTTTATGCGAAACACCCATACTTTTTTGATTTCGTCTTTTGCCCATACTTCTCAAAAAAAGGAAACGCGGAAGGGGCCGACTAAAGGCAAAGTGTAGACTTCTGGCCATTATCATAAACGTTAACTTCCCATTACGCTATCTTCCAACAGGGGGCGAGAGATAGTTTCTTGTAGGACAAGTGTGTTTTGTGCTTAATGTGTACGCTTTCCTATAGCTTGATTACGTTTGTAAAGTATGCAGATACTTTTATTGTTAGGTATAATCTTTTCGAAATTATTCTGTACTCGTGTCCTAATTCTTCTAACCTGCTGTTCTATGGCAATTTGATTTCAGATGTGCCTCAGTTGACGGTGCGTTTAGGCAAGAAGCTACGACACTCACATATTCGCGAAGGTAGCGACGTGTTCCTGGAGTGCGACGTCAAAGCGAATCCGTCAATTATTGAAATGGGTTGGCGGTTCGAGGGAAAGGAGCTCACTCCGAAGAGTGAAAGTGTCCGCGGCAAAAAAGGAATCATTATATCTGAACATTCACTTGTTCTTCAGAACGTAACAAGGTAAACTGAAAATTGACAACCTCGAAATGTAATTTTAACTTCATGTAGATTTTTTTTTCATAATACCGAACTTAATTGTTTGTATTTGAAAATAGAAGGTGCATTTCAAAAGGTGTGAGCGATAGAGGAATGACGCATCAGTGATTGATTCATATCTTATTTTACAGGCACAATCGTGGTCGATACACATGCACAGGTACCAATGCAGCAGGTCAAGGCGAAAGTCCTGCTTTCCAGCTGCGCGTCAAATGTGAGGGCCACATTTGTATCGATTTAGTTTGTTTAAACGTTATAAAGTATCTACGACAAAGACTTTGTAAAAACTGCTAAGAAATAACACTAGTCCCGTTTGTATACTATCGGTCGCCAGTGATCGCTAGAAAACAGTATCTCTTCGGCTTCGTAAAGTTTTACACTTCGTACGTAAAGTACCTTGTTTTTAAATTTTCTCTTATAGTTCTCTCGACGGTATAATATATCAAAGTAACCCTATATATATATATATATATAATATATATTAAAGCAACACACATTTGACAGCAAATGCTTTTTATCTTCGTACGGTACAACGATTGCGTAACACTTTCCAATATAACTTATTTGCAACGTTTTTCGTCATATTTTCTCAATGTGTGTGTGTGTGTGTGCATGCGTGCGTGCGTTCGTGCGTGCTTACCCTCTGGTCCTTGCTGTGCCATAGATGAGCCCCGGTGTGTGCCAGGCCAACGTCAGGTGTACGATGCAGCCAAACACGAAGCCGTTCGATTGAGTTGTGAGTTAGAGTCGGACCCCGAAGAGGTGACGTTCAAATGGAAGACGCGTAACTCGAAGAGCGTAATCTCGTCTGCCCCTTCCCCGCTGTTTGACGAGGACAAATTATTTTCCGAATCATCTGTTGTCGGTGCCACAGCTGGCAACAATCAGGGTTGGGACCAGCATGGCACGGTGCATTCGGAGGGCACCCGAAGCTGGCTAACGTTGGTTCCTCGCACAGAAGAGGATTATGGAACGGTTATCTGTTGGGGCCGTAACTCAATGGGCGTGCAGAAGGAACCATGTGTGTTCACGCTAATCCCTGCCGGCCCCCCGGGTCCCGTGCACAACTGTAGTGTGGCCAAGAAAAGCGAAGACTCTATTACTATTCAGTGTCACGAAGGTTACGATGGCGGCGCTGAATCCGGCCAGCGTTTTTACATGGAGGTTCACGACTCGGTCAACCAAAACCGTGTGCTTATTGCCAACATATCAAGCATGGGGATGGACGCCAAACCAGTGCTGACCGCAGATGGCTTGTCGCCCTCAACTTCGTATGTGTGCACCGTGTACGCGGCGAACGAGAGGGGTGCAAGTCAACCAACGATTCTTATCGCATCGACGATACCTCGACCACTTAGTTTGTCAGCGAAAGGTGGCTCGCTATTACATCTGCTCGATTTGGGCCGGTTCAGCCCGTCGAAAAACCCAGTAACTCTGGTTATTGCGTTTATCGTGCTTACCGCAATTATCGCCACTCTAGTACTCATCGCGCTACTTATGCGACGGGCAGCTCGTACCAGCTGTCTAATCAAAGGAGGAAGGGGCAACAATAACAACAACAACAACAAAAAAAAGTGTAAGCATAACAAGAAATATGATTAATATTAAATATTATAGCAATAGGGGTCTTTTTACCAAATTAGAACAGCAAAATGTCAAGCCTTTGTTATGTCGTTTTATGCCATCCGTTGGGTTCATCAGAGTTCGCGGCTTAATTCTCCAATCCCATTTCGAATACTGATCTGCTGTACATCAGGTTTTGCAATGCTAAGTCGTTTTGATTCCAACTATCAAAGCGTTACGCTTTGTACTTCCATGTCCGTCAGCGGCGCTTTTTATTGTTCACTGGCTTGCGAGCTTTGAGCTAATATAGCGCAGAGGAATTCTGTCAGCAAGCCATTACTTGTGTCAAGTGTTAACTAACCTAAGATATGGGATTGTTTAAAGATGGTAGCGGTTTTTATTTTTATTTCAACAACCATTGAAGTCCTCCGTCAGGATACCGGCTGTGGTGTGCTTGAATATGGTAATTGGTGACCTCTATGCGATCTGTCTTCCCCACGACATGTCATTACTGAAACCTGAATCAGCTGCGCTCGGTGCTTCCTTGGATATTTTTTCCATGACAACCCGTGCCCGTCTGTGCTTCTGCGATTGATGTGTTGCGTTAGTATTTCTGATGGGGAACAACGAATCGGCGTTTAAGGCTCATGTCTTCAAGTATAACTGGTAAAAAAAAACGAGCGTGCTTACTATGCGGAGATTAGTCTGAATGGGTCTACGGACAAATGGGCTAGGGAAGCTCTCAAGTATCGATCCTCAAAACGTTATCTCCTATAATGAATGCGGCGGGATTTTTCGTGTTCTCACCAATGAAGGAAGAAATCATGGGCCGTTTGCTAAATGGGCTGCTAGGAAAACTCAATAACAAAGGTCATCATCACAAGCAGCAGTTGTGAACAAACATTTTGACTGTTGGAATGGCTGCTGTTTTGTCCACAGGCTGATTTCTAAAAATGAATCGGACACTCCAAGCACAAGGGCGTATCAAGCGTGTGATAGGCCTGTGCTTCTCATTCGACACTTATTAGAAGATTGTTACAGTTAGAACGTATAGCGCGGAGCGCTTCACATGGTAACAAAGCAAGCATTTGAAATCCTTGAAGGTTCCTGCTGGGGCTTGAAGCTATGCTTTCTGTGGAAATTCCGTTGGGAAAAAAAACTTTGCAAATACAGGGTTCGTACGACCCTGTTTTAAGTCTTTTTGTACATCTTTTTCTTATAGGGTAGGGTTTTGTGGGTGAGTAAGTGCCTATATGCAAGGACCTATCAATAGACTCTAGCCTGTAAGGTTGGGTCTGGGACGAAAACTTGTGTCTAGTTGGGCTCCAAATACCCCACATTGTATGGCTAATGCGCATCTCTTTGAATGTGTTGCTATAGTAATCATTAAAAAAATAAAGGGCATGCAGTTACGCCGGTTTAAATCTCAGCGGTAGCAAAAATAATTATCGAAAATTAAGTAACAGAAAAAATAATAAACATCAGGAATTATCACTATGAAGAAAAAATAAATTGGGTTAATTGCTGTTTGCCATGCCATTCCATAGGTCTGTTGTAGAAAATCTTGCCAAGTCCAACAAGACCAACCCCGGCTACCGCTTCTAGTGGGGTAGGTTTTTAACACTACGCCGAAAAAGAGGTAATCCCTAGGACTTGTTCTCACAAGAAGGGTACGCAGACAGTGTTAAGAAAAATTATGATAGCATTGTAACACATTTTACATAAATCAATTATGAGGAGATTGAAACTGCATGTAAGTAGTCCATAATCCCAGGGACGTAGATGTGAGAAAAATGTGGTAGGTAACAAGCAGTGCTCGACTTCAACATTGTGAGTATGGCTTGCCACTAGGGAAGTTTGCTTTCGCAGCAAGGCAGTAGTTCTCCTGTACGATAAAGGTTATAGCTAAATAGTACAAGGTCAGTTCTAAAAGCCAATACATAACATTGAGGCTTCAAAGGTGAGTGACCAATGCTAAGAGCTTTACTTTTCATGTCATCGGGTTCTCAAGGCGAAAGGATTGAAAAAAACGATGAGGATGAGTCCGCCGTTCCTCTTCGGGACTCAATTAAGGAACGCGAACAGATTACTGACCTCAGAAATTTGGCCGAAGACATCGAAAATGACAGCATGTGTCCCGATATCATTCCGGGTAAGTTATTTTTTACGAACTGTTTTTCAGACCATTTCAGTGCTTCTACTACTACTGTTATTTATATCTAAATGTAGACAGTAATGATTTGGTTATTTACAGAAAGTGTACTAATATTGTGACGCCTGAATAAAACAATTGTTTCTACGACGATTGCCTTACGAACCGTTTGAATAGAGGTTCCCCTAATTTAGGTTAAGGCGAAAGGCAAAACTTCGAACTTCTGTTACAAATTCGAGACCTGCGTACATATATAGCGTGAGGAACGGTATAACTGTCAAGTCAAAAAGTTACCAATAAATGTACAAGTATAACACATAAATATATAATAAATATTTTTGAATTGTTAATTAACCGGGTAAATGAGATGTTTACCTCTATTTTAGAGACGGCGAAATTGACGAGCAGCAGCCAAACGGACTCGTCTTCAGTTGCTTTTGTTGAAAGTAGCTTCATTGCGAAACGTTCTCCGACTTCACCAACGGGTGCCGTTAGTCCAATGCGCAACGTCGTTCTGCCGCAACATAACCAGAAGAGCGTTGTTGGCAATGCGACCGGAACCACAACTCTTCGGGTAGATCTCTCAGCAGTCTGTACGAGAGCACCGGCTTATATTGACTTTAAGATAATGCGGGCAAGCGTTAGCCTACAAGAGGAAATACATAAGTCGTTTAGCTTTCTCGGCCAGTTATCTTTTACGCTCGCCAGCTTCAATGAATTGCAGTTTTACCATAGATTGCGTATCGTCTACAATTTCGATTGGCAATCTGCCTTTTTAATTAATTTGTTTTATGACTCCTTCTTTTAAGAACATTAGACCGTTTTCTATCATACCTCGTTGCCTTTAGATTTTGAGTTTGCCTTTAGATTGAAACGACCCTGCTGAAACTTTGTCGGCACAGGTCAGTAAACAAGCATCGAAATTATTACCTGTAGGTGTATGGCCAGCGAGTATATTCGATAGTGGTAGAGGTGAGAACCAGTAGCAGAAATAAGAGTAATTAGCTCACTAGAATTACGGTTACTAACCGTCTGAACACATGCATTTGTCCTATTCTAATGCTGCAGTCGCCGAGATCAAGTTTGGCCGACTGCTGGCCAAACAATAAAGCACATCACTGGCCAGTTCGGCAGGGCGATATAGGCTTTTGTAATAGCCCAAAGCGAGGCTCATGGGATCTCGCAAATGAACAGCGATCGCGGAATTCTTTGCCCTCGTCCATATCATACCAGCACGTGGCGACGTTACCTCGACGCACAACACTTCACTACAATCAGAATGAGGGTCCTCCAATGGCACAGGCTGTCGCCGCAGGACGGACACACGGGTCGACGAAAAACGTCACCTTTGATATGACGCCCGTCACGCACCCCTACGTAAGTACTGAACTTTAGAGGATCGAATTAGGCAACAATTAGAGTAACATATAATATGTGCTGGTAACTGAACTTGAATATGAGCAGATTTATAATTCCAGCTTGCTTCAGTAAGAATGTCCTCGGAACACATAACAATAGCACGTGTCTTCTGATTTATATAACTTAGCTGTGGTTGCGAATTATATTAGGTTAGTTATATCTTTACATAAACTTAGATTTCTACGAAGGACGGTCCAGTTTCAAAGTGGATTGTTTTGCCTAGACGATACTAGTACTAATTAATAAACTGATCAAGAATAACAAGAAGCTGAAGTGCTTGACTCCAATTTGTTTAAACTGTTCGTAAATTATTCACCGCAGTGTTTTGGCTTTTCTAATGAATTGGCTAAGCTATTGGAACTAAGTTAAAAAAAAAAAATGCTAAATGAAGTTAGTTAACCTTGAACGGTTAAATTAAATATTCAACTAGATTTTGTATGGGTTCCGTGCGCAATGCCTGCATGCAAAATGTGCAACTGCGGCTGCGGGCCTAATATTGCTACACGGTATCGCTAGCCAACGCAAGCATCTAACTGCGAAAATATTCGCAAGTAACTAGTTATACTGTTACTATTTACTTCAACACTCAGCCTATTCCGCAAGCGCGATAACTGCTCAGAGCTTATTATGGCAGAGGACTAGAAATTGATTTACCATATTTATATCGACCGGCTTAGGACTTAGTACCGGGACTTAGGACCAGCTTAGTAGTAAGAGATTATCCTTAGACATCCAGGTAACGCTAGTCGCATAAGGCAAATCGCAAAGGCATAATATGTTCCTTGAAAAGACCATATCTTGCACTCAGCCTTTCTATGAACCCTCTCTGTACCCCGTGAAGTGCGCCAGTGCGTTTTCTTAGACAAAGGCACTATATTTATAAACATTACGTCTATTCAGTAACTAGCAAACCTTTCTAAGTGAAATATTTAGATCAGCTCTTTGGACAATTGAGCAGCGGAACGCTGGATTGCTCGTAGAATTTATCATCCTTACTATAATTTCAGTAATAAATTAATCGAAGGCTGAGAATGGGTCCACAAGTACCTCTTAGGAATAAAAGAATTCTTAATTAACTAAGCTGCTGGTAACTACTAAAGGCATAAAGAAAATCTAGGTCGACGGAAGAGACAACCACATATTTTAGTACCGAGATAAGCGTATATCGGTGCTTTAACGCTACCTGTTAACAGGGTTAATTTAAGAAACCTTTTCGGTGAGGAGCGCCATGAAGATCAAACAGCTTTGACTCACCGCTATACCATTTGCAAGCAATATTTTTTCGTAGATAGCAAACCTTTAAAGTCAAGCCTGCGACTTAGAACAAGCCTGTGAACCTAGACAGGATTCTTGCCTGCCTGTAAAAATCACTCGCTCTCCTTAACCATCCAATTTGCCCAGGTACGCAGCCAGGCAATGGAAAACAAAAAGGCAGGCTTTCTTCATGTGATTAGACCATGAAGACCATGGTCATGGTACTATCAATAGTTAACCAACATTCAGATGAAAGCGATCAAATTTAATTGATACTTAAGAGAATTTTGTTGGTTGACTATGTTAATCGATAAACAGTCAGAAATCAATACCAAAGTTGATACGAGGAAAGATAAAGACTTTTGTATAAAATGAACCTTTTCAATATCATCTCATACAAGCTGTTTACCAACGCTGAGAGCATAAATATACATACCTTGCCACCTTATTTAACAAATTCTCTATGTTTTAAAGAGTAAAAGTAGGCATACTCGGAACTCAGTCCCATTGATATTTCCGTGCATTTGCGGGCACATCGATCTCCATTAATGGACTAAATTTAACGATACATTGTTGCCTTTAAATTGTTTTTATGAGCGTATAAATATGAAGGAAAGGTTACTGAGCGTAGCGATCCTACATATCTACAGTACAACAAGCATATCCTTCTCCAGCACTCTAAAAACTTCAACCTATAACGTCTTATATTCAATATGACCTAAAGTAGCTAACACATGGCCAAACATGCTGTACTTAAGAAGAAGTATTTACTCAAAGTTCGTGAGTTTTATGTCAGAGTTTAGGACACGTATAACGAATGTGTCGTAAGACAATTAATAAGACACCTGTTTCGTTGAAAGAAAATTTTTGCAGAATTCAGAATAACGCACTTTTGTCACGTTGGTCAACATTGAAACAATTATTAAGAGCTAATTCACAAATATAAACTAAATCACGCAACTTATACACATGTAGAAATTAGCACTCAATGCACGGCCGTCCTAAAGATTTTGCACATGGAAGAGGTATTGTATAATAATATCAAGCGCTTTTGCGTCGATTTGAACAGGACGATAGTTTTGCAAACTTGAAACTTTTCTCGAATTGACAACAAAGGGAATGGCTGTAAACGATAAATAAAAACTTGTTATGGTTTACAGTCACAAACGTGTGTAGAAGTTGGCATGCGAGAAGGAGCCTCATAGAGAGATGCCAAGCGGTATCGGCTGGATTCAAGGGCTCATGATGTTTCAAACAGATCTTGATCACGATCTATGGGTAGTTTTTTTTTTTAGTTACATCGATTGTGGGTTAGCGCGCATCTTTTTGCGCATGCAAACCCCTATTAGCGTCTACTGTGGGGCGATACAAAATCACATTTACCTGTCAACTCATTGATACACTCCGAGATGGCTTTATTTTCTCATGTACGGATATTTTTGTATACACATATGGCTCATAACGTGAGCGACTACTACGAATCGTAATCACAAAAGACTGCTGAGTATTTTATTTTAGCAGTCCTCCATACAGTCTACTAGAGTGTTTCAATTGTTTTAAAGAATGTTAGTTTATCTGAGTAGCTGGATCCTATGGATGTCGCTAACAGGTCTTCTAAGTGAGAGTGTATATACGCTGTTCATCGAGTGATATCGCTATTTACGAGTTGTGTATTGCAGTCGCGTCTGTGTGGATAACTACTAGTGTGTATATATATAGCCTGCGTGTGTTTGTGTATTATGTTTGCGCGCAAATGTTTGCCCGACTCATACGTTGCTTGCAGGCGTGGGTTGATGGCGGATGTTCGCTAATCTTGCCACGGGGCTTCCATAAAAGCCCTCGGGGAGACTCTAGTGGCAGCCACCAGATGACGGCCATCGTGGCAAAACGCAAGGACAATGCAGGTTTCAACGCCGCCAATTCGACTGCAATCGGAGATCATTTCGATGACCCCAATAGTGGCGGTGGCTTGTCGAGGAGCGAACATGCCTCAAGCAGAATATATCGAAGTGATCTCCATGTTAGCCGCGCTAAGCTTCAGTTACTCACATTGGCTGAGCCCCAACGGCCAGCTCTGCTCAAACCAGCGCTGCTGCAGACGACGGCCAGTGCTCCAACCACCAACAACAACAACAACAACAACAAAAGTAACAACGCACCAATGCCCACACAAGCATTAATGTCAACAACAGGAGTAACGAAGTCGACCACAAGAACAACAGTAGCAGCGCTTCCGCCAACATCGACTTCACTTTCATTCGCAAGACTGGCGACGTCGACAACGCTGTCGATCAGCTCCAGGTTACAACCGCAGAAAGTTCGTATCAATCAGACATGTGCGTTAAATAGTCCTATAAATAATTAAATGTCATAAAAAATACATACATGTTGACTTGCTAGGGCCTTTGACAAGCAATCAGTAGTTTATTCAAAGTTATTCTACTTATAAGCTTTTAGAGATAGCGTAGTACGATCTGTGGAAACAAGCTATACTTAGGGATTTCTTGGCCGACATTCTTGTCAGCAACGTACGTATCGAACGCAGCCGATTAAAATAATAAACTATGTTGGCATACCCATCCAATTTATCTGATCTTTTCGTACCTCATTATAGCTTTAGGCCTTACAATAATCCCAAGCGCATGTTCACAAGTTGACACTATGCTACTGCTGTATGGACTTTTAGAGAGAGCAGTCTGCGGAAGTGGCAACAACGATATTGAAACCCGACAGCATCAACGGCGGAACTGTGGGAGCGGTCATCAGAGCACCGTTGGCTAACAGGGACGAGGGACAACTATGAGTTCCTTTTTCTTTATCTTGGTCCTCTATTTCCTTGTTCTCCGATCTCGTTTTGCTACGAGTCCCTCGTTCTGCAGGCATTACCAGCAGCAGCAGCAGCAGCAGCTTTCGCCTTCATCATGTCCTTTTACCTTTGGTGACATCATCTAGTTAACCCGTAGGACAAAGTCCCCAACGTTTATGCTCGCAGCATATAGGAGGTTAATTTTATTTAGTCGCTACTGAACCTTCTACTAAATAAAATAAAGCGCCTTTTTGCCTTCCCTTTGTTGATAGAATTTTCGAAGTTGCTATGCCCAAAATGCCAGTTCGGCGCTTGCTCAAACGGATCTTCGGGTACGCCATAGGCTTCGGCCCACAACACGAAAATAACAAATCGTTGCTAACCGAATTATACCAACATGGTAGCAGAGAAAAGACTACCGATTTTCCTAGTGTGACTTTTTTGATTTACATGTATTCCAGATGTCCGAACATTGTGAATAAGACAGTGCGGCGTGACAGAATAACGTCGATGCTACGTGTACATACTATATAAGTCCACTCAGTCTGAAAGAAGAACTGGGAAATAGTGTTAACAAAGAATCCTTCAAAGTTAAAAAAAAAAAACCGTTTAGCAGCTGCTTGGTAAGCTGCCTGTATCGACTCACCTCAATTTTCAGTATTTCGAATTTTCATTATTTTTTGCCATTAAATATAAAACCTCAAAGTAGCGATCGCGAATAGTTGAAAATGAAAGATGCTGTACATTGCGCATTCATGTAAAAAAAAAAGACGAAGAGGTTGTTGAACGGTTGAAAAAATGCCCAGTTTTTTTTCTGATCGAGAAAATTTGAATAAAATTTTACCCGTGGAATGAATGTTTATCAGAAAAAAAAAAAATTTCAACAAGACACAGACGTCTTGTGTAACAGGTATTCGCGCATAGATGTATTGTGTTGAAAAAGTTATATATATATATATATATTCTGTAATGGTAAGTGGGAGAAGTAAGCCCGTTCAGTGTGTCGCTTTCAGTGGCAAGGTAATAGTAAAATGGTGCATCGAGCTAATGAACGTTTAATTAGAAAAAAAAACTACATTGCTGCTCCATAAAAACGAGATGCGATGTTTCATTTGTTGGTAGTTTTGTCTGGTCTCGGCTCGGTTCTTTTTGCATTAATTAGACTGATATATATATATATAGTCTTGCAAGTTCATTTAAAAGAACCGTACCACAAAGATTTGTTGCTTTTTGCTAGCCTAAGAGCCATAAAAGACGGGTCGAGAACTCCTTTTTTCAGCAATATTTTATGGTACATTCATAAGAAGAATGCATAAAGTAATTTGTATTATAAGCCTAATTCATATCTAACTCTAGACAGATCCGTAAATAAAACACGTTCATATTCATCCACTGGCTCGAGATCAAGCAAGTATACGGTTCAGCCAGTTGAATAACTATTGAGATAAGCAACATTTTATGTGTCCCTTGGGAAACATACAAACCGATAAGCATATTTGTTGTGTTTTTTAGAAGAACGGAAGTGGATTATTTATTATACACATATGAATTAAGAATGATATGTACTTAAAGAGACAGCTGCAAACGCATTAGATAATCGAATAAGGAACGAAACATATTTTTATGATGGAGTTAGTTATACACACCTGTATATACTTTTATCTTTATTTTAATTTTAATAACAAAAACAATGAAAAATAACAATAGTTGCAAACCAATTTAGTGTTAATAAAATGGACAGATAAGATTGATGATCACTTCAGTTTGTCTTTTTAGCTACGTTAGCTAAATTCGGGTGCGTTAGCATTCACGCCATATTAATATATTTAAAGCGATCAAATCAAAGGAGAGACTGTGACAAGCGATTCGGTACCTCTAACAATCGTCTTATAAAATAATTTACTTCTCAATTTGAGAATCCATTATTATTTATGTATCTTCTGTATCCGTTAGGTTCTCTGTTTTATACTAGCCCAATTTACTATTTACTATTAGCTTTACAAACAGTATCAGTTTATTTATTAAATTCGTGTCAACGATAATTTAAGACGTTTTCTGCTGTATATAATAGGTAAATTCCATATATATATATATATATATATATATATATATATATATATATATATATAAAGGAAAACTTTTTTTACTAGATAGGAAACATCTTAATTTTATTCCTGTGATAACTGGTTATTATGTTATGCATTACCCGTTAGTGCTCATGATCTTCTGCCATCTGCCGACCGACTTATCTATTTCCTCGACGTAGAAAGTTCCAGGCTTGGTGTTGAGGAACTTATTCAGCCAGATTTTGAAATCCCCTTCGCTGCCAAATGTTTGATTCTTAATCTTATATTCTAGTGAGTGAAAAAGGGGAAAATTCTAGGTGTAAGCTTTAGAGACTATTGAGGACGCAACAAATCTCCTGTTCAAAGTTCAAAGAAGCGGCTTCGAAAATCGTTGTCTAGCGTTGTCATGAAGCAGAAGAACTTTTCTCGTCTTTTTTTGAATAGCCTGCTTAATTTGGTACATGTGCGCCAAATAAACGTAACGGTCAACTGCCTGGTTCGCGTGGAAAAAAAGTCCAGTGAATCTGGCCTTTGCAGTCCTACCAAACACAACTCTAACCTTTTTTAGGTGAAGGTCTGGTTAGACTCTTGCTTCTTCTAGTTCCTCCGATCTCTTGCCCTTATTGTGATACACATACACTCGCCGGTGACGATTATATGCAAAAATGGGTCATAGTAACCGCGCGACACACGATACCGAGGTAGGCTTTGAGTTGCAGCGTTAAGCCTCAACTACTTAATAGTACATGTTTCTAGGTAAACTGAAGGTAGTCCACGATGGTTGTGTGGCTACAGCCTTTTTTCGACCAATACGTTTACCATTAGTTTTTTTTCGATGGAGCCTCCAAAAGGTCGTCATCAAACTCAGACAGTTCATCAAAACGAGAGCTCTGATGGTTTTATATGGGTTTCCAACTTCGCAAACCATTCGTGGGCAGTCCTTTCAGCAACACCATCATTATCGTGCACGAGGCAAATGTCCCGGGGCATCTCAAGGAAGTTTTGGCCTCCACGAAATGCACAGTGCAAAATGTGGAAAATGCACTTTTTTTTTTACCTAAAACGTTTATCTTCGATTATTATTCGACTTTAAATCGTTACAGCAACCAGATAGCATAGGAAGAGCACTTTTGAATGGCGTATCACAAGTAAGTAAGCAAAATTTTGTTAAACAAGCGCCAAAGTTTCTTTTCAACGTATACGTATGCCTGAAATAAATTGGCGATGTAATGGGTGTACGTTCACTCGCTGTTTTTACGAGTAGAAAAACGCAAGTTGTTCAAAGAACAAAATTGTTAACTGACCACAAAGGGAACGGAGACCAACCGCTGTTCAAGGTTCTCTTGTACGAATCCTACGGCGATGATAAACGTATTAAATATTAAAAGTATGTAAGGCGTCCAAAAAGTCCAAAATCAATTTCCATTAATTACTACATGGCATTTCTAATAGGGATTAAAACACAAGAGTCAAAAATCTATTATGGAGGACACAAGAAGATACCTCTAGCAATTTCGAGTGTTTTTGTTTGATATCTGAAGATGGGGTTGTTTACTGCCTTAGGTTATAACGGTTACCTTTTCTACAAGTTTTTGAGTTTTCTTGCACCTTCGAAACTTTTTTACCATTTTAATTTTTGGAACTTTTAGCCTAGTATCAGCCCAAAGATTTTTCTTGTATGTGGCAATCGAAGGTCCCAGTACCCTGTCAGTCATTACTACTAATAAAATTTCATTAATGAAGAAGATATGCGTTGTCATTTAGATACATGTAGCTTATAAATAGGCGTAATCGATCCCGTCCGAAGGTGCCCTCTCTGTACACAACTTACTTCATGCGTACAACTAGTCGTTTTGCTTCGCTTTATCACACTGCGCACCGTATGAGCAGAATAATCAGAGGTGCTGCTTGATTGGTCGCGCAGTAACCGTCTAGTTTTATCTAGGAAGCGTCCTATTTTAAGGCATGAAGAAAATGGTCCTGTTTGCTCCTCTTTGATTTCATGCAAGCACGTTATGCTCTTTCCACGGATTCAAAAACAAGCAGACCACTATCAGTATCCCTGTAGTCCGCAATGTGACGAACATTTTTATAGTTCATATCCATCATTTTCATCACGGAACTACGTCTAATCTGTAACCAGACTGGGGCCAGCCGGTTCTTGTCGACAAATTCTGCCCATTGCTGTGGATGACTTCATTCACAAAAGTGCTCAGATAACGTAAGGCGCGTGTCAAACGAATGGCTTCGAGAGTTCCATCACGTCAGTAAGCAAAAATAGTATAAAGAGATACATGTTGGGAAACAAGACCTTCGGTATGTTAAGATTTTGAACAAATTTCGCTGTTTTTTGAAAGCAGGTTATATCAGTAATGCTTAAAAAAAGCTGTCAGTAGATAGATTAAACTTACTTACTTACTTCAGTTACATATTTAAGCTCTACATGATACATGTTGGCGTTTTGGTAGTTTTATAATACAATATCAAAAAAATATCGGTGTTATCTCAATTGTGTTTTTTTTTAAAAATAACTCTTATAAGGATTGTAAACGCTTCACAATGTGCAAAGATGTAAAGGTTCTTAGATGAATTATTATTATTATTATTTAATTATTATTATTACGAATCGAATCATAAGGACAGCTTTACGACATAGCGCGTCTGACGGATACGGGAACCCAAAAGATAACCCCGATCATTTGATCCGATAAATATCTAACACGTCTGCTATTTTGCTCGTAGTACTGTTGACTGAAGATGCGGGCCGACAGATAGTGAAGTTAAACAGAGAAAATAGTTGAAGTTGGTGTAAGTTTCCACACTACGAGTTTTGTTTGGCCTGCGTAAGTCATTTAAGCCGTTAGCCCCTACTAAAAATAAGTTAGACCAGTGGCTCTGGTCGTCTCCTGTTTAAGTTGCAAGTTGGAATATAATGAGTAAAATTAGATATAAATTAGGTTAAGAATATCTGGAAGTTTTACTTTCACCATCATCACGCTGATGACAATAAACAATATTCTGAGATAAACAGCCCTACATCTACGGACCTTGCAAATGTCGCATTAAATTGCTGATAGCATTCTGTTTTAGCCAAAAACGTCTAGACCCATCTCGTACGTGGGTTTCGATGCAGGTAGACAGTTGCGTAGGTTCATAAGCCTGGCCATCTCTCACGTGCCCAAGCGTCTCTCACCTGCCGCATGAGTCGCGAATCAATCTAGAGAATGCAGCTGTTCCTCAGCAGCGTTCATCAGCATAACGTGACAAGCCTTCTTTCTCAACGTACCTCCACTAATCAGCAGAGATTCCATTTACACAAAAGTTAATACTGCAGGCACGCACAACCTTTTGCTAAAATCATTATGTGGATGGATAGACGCCATCCTTTACTTAGCCTCGTTCGATCTTTCGGGTTGTTTATAGTGATGAAGAATCTTACTTCTTCAACAAGGAACTATTTTTTATTATCCTTTTATTGTGGTTAAAAATAATCACCGGTTCAAGAAGATGTCCTTTTCTTGGCACCATCTTAAACCAGACAACATAAACAAAGTAACTCATACATTATATTTAATGCTTTTACATTAAGAGCATTAACAGCTCGGCACTAACAACTTGCTATTTAGCAGCCTTAGGTCGACACATAAGAAGAAGAAGAAGCAATGCGGGACCTAAGGTAAAGGTCATCTTTATCATATAGCACCCTAAAACCTGAAGCTAGCTGTTCGAAGAAGCAGTCGACTAGGTAATTGATTGACTGTCAGTGTTCTCATGGCCTGTATGATAGAACAGTCGCCACTTTTAAAACAAAGAACGCGCCAGATCTAGTTATTATTTCTATTACTAGTAGAGCTCAAAAAAGACCTACTCAATGGCTCTAGGCTCAATTTTAGGGTCTCTATTTATTCGCTTGCTACAGAAAAAGCGCTTTTTTTCGTGCTGTTCCCTAAAGCTCTGCCTGGAAAAATTGAGAAGTCCAATCCTGCCCACTCACATTTAACGTGTCGTTAGGTTCTGCGGCACCCTGTAATTGAAGAGAAACAGATGCCGGACGACGCTGGCTTCATAGTTAGGACTCTTCTGAAAAGCGGTCTTTTCAGAGGCGGTAGTGAAAATGAAGGGAAGTCTCACGCAAGATTACCTTTTGGGGATATTACTGTTCATAGTGAATTTCCATAAAATACACACTAAACTGTCATCTACACATTTATTATAGATTGAAACGCATATTTTTAAATGTTGCAGTTTATTACGAGCAAGACAGCATAATTATGAATGCCGAATAAAACGGGGGCATAATTTCTAATCATCATCTCTGAAGATGCTCATATTAAACACTATTGCCCTATTACGACTACTGTGAATTTATTGCACTTGTATTGTTAATATTATTATTGTATAAATAATAATACTAATCCATGATAGCTTAATACTGCAGCACTATGCGAAATTGTTTTTGCGTCTTCAGACCCATTTGTTCCTTTGGCCACAAATCGTCTTCTTCACCTACAAACGTGTGCTAAGAAATGCCGTCGGGTTTCAAAAGCTTGGTTTATCTAATGCGGTTAAACATTGCGTTATTGTTTTGTTAGGCGTAAGAACAAACCCTTGCAGTGCTTCGTCTTATAATTGCTAAAAAAGAGCACTCTGAGGGCAGTGAAGGCTGATAGGTGCGG